TTGGAAACTAACCAGACACCTCCGCTAGAAGGAAAACGACAAGAATTTCAAAGTTTTGCCTTCTGCCGTCCGCTGTCTGCTGTCTGCCGTGATTATCAAGTGTTTTGTAAATTCGATTGATAGATAAGTCAAAAAAGAAACATACTAAAGGACATGGCCATGGAATTATGGTCGTTGCCCAACATAGATAGATAGCCCAACATACTGATCTATTGTAAGAAAGGCTGGAGAGGGAAATCACCATATCAATTCAGATTTGTTTACTTGCTACTGAGATCGTCAACGCCGCAACAAACTACTTTGCTTATGTAAAAGGTTTTTTCTGTCTCCTCGAGGAAAAATGTACGATTCAATTTTCCTTTTACTCAAGGTGTTTTCACGAAGAACTGTAGGAAGTATAGGTATGTAATTTACTTTAAATGTTGACTCGGAAGAAGTCTTCGACGTGACTGAAGTCGGGGGCTCACGGAAAATTGAATGCTATTACGAGAAATGCTAACGCAAAAGCAAGATATAGCAATTTAAGTGTTTTGGGCGGCTAATAAAGAAACCAAATGATACCGCAACATTTCTCTCCAAAACGTGTTTGAGATGTTTATTATCAATAGCTGCAGACCTAGATGAAGAGTCATGACAAAATTTATGGAAAATCTTCAATTTTTCTCATAACTAATGTAAATCGAGGTTCGCATTCAATCATCAGATTATCTCAAAAGCGAGATGCTGGGTTTCTTTCGGAAAGAAAGCACCTTTAATGATCGGCATCAAGAAGGAATCTAATTCTGGTAAACCGAAGTATCTATTCTAAAATCATCGCACTGACACGTTTTCTTTTTAAAACCTTTGAAACAAGTTTGATATTTCGCCATAGCCTTCGAGCACCCGTGTGCGATGACGGGTTTCGCATTTAAACGATTGTAGCCTGGAATAACGACGCTGAGGACAATTAACAAGAGAAATGGCGGAAACCTCCAACACAATATTATCAGTACCCCCTTCCCCCCCACTAAAAGAGAAAGTCCGTGTGAAATACAATGGACCATATAAGAAATGAAATTAGACACCGTGAGTGACGAAATTGGAGATCAGTGTTAAAACGCGTGCATTGCGACATGAATTAAACAGGGTCTCGACTTTCAAGGTTAACAGGTTTGCGCAGGTTTGCACAGTCCAAGCGAATGAAGAAACACTTTTTTTCAAAAAGACACGTGATTTGAGGCAAAGCCTAATATCTGTGGCATGTGCTAGGACGATGCTCTCTCAAATATATTTCAGAAACCTCGCAAATACTTTGACCTCTCCAGTTTCTCTTCCTCTTGTTTTTTAAGCTGTTTTACAAGTGAGTGACCCACTCCATGATACTGAGAGGAACGATTTTCTTTCCATTATTTGCGGCGAATACAATCGAAGACGGTTTTTCTTCTTCCCCCTTTTACTCAATCAACGCTTGTTAGTTACATATTTATGTGCGTGGGGCCAAAGCCTGGAAAACCATTTTCAGACCCGGCCTCTAAAATCCGTATCCGTTTTCAGACCTGGCCTCGGAAAATTCTACTTGGTTTGCGAATGCACCACCTTGTCTAAGTGAAGTCAACATATTATGTAAACAGTCTATCAATTTGGAGGCATACGTATTTGAATCTGAGAATTGTCTCAAGAACGAAATTCTAGACTTAGGAAGCTGCATATGGATGTGTGGCGTTATGAAGCCGTGGAGCATATAGTTTTCAGTCCGCTGATGCAATGACGAATAGCAAAATACAAAGTGCTAAAATTCATTGGCAACTTCAGCTCGAAGAAATATTTGGTAACTCCTCTCTCTCCATTATTCATTTGGAGTTGAAAGGCAACCGTATAAGACCGTACTCTCTTAGAAAGCACATGAGCTTAAATGAAAGACCTCCGGAGCTACCAGAGCATTTTGATACGATACGCTGTATCCTGCGGTGTTACCACAGCTAAAAACGATAGGCTGAGAAGCGGGTCAAGATTCTGGTGTAAGCCTAATTTCATTTGTTATTAATTCTTGTGCAACACGAGAGTTCCAGTTTTCCTTAGTCACAGTACGTTTAAGCCAGAAACACGTGAATCATATTCACGTGTAGGCACGAACTTTTTCTCACAAAAATATGGGTGGTATTATAACCAGTATCATAAACAAATGATTTCGTGTAATGGCTTCCGAAGTAGTTTTCAAACTGATATGGGGTTATTTAATTTTTCACGTCATAGAAAGTTTCAAATTTTTCGTCAGTAAGAATACTATTTTAATTTCATCCTTGATACTAGGAAAACACTGAGTAACAGAACTTACTTACATTTGAGTTTCAGGAAGTTTATCCCGCCTGCTATGTTGTTTTGCTGTCGTCGTGAAATGATAAAAAAAGAGGTAAATTCAAGAAATTTGGTTATGTGCCGGATGTGCCCGTCGATACTTGACAGACGTTAAATCTTAAAAATACCCTGACTGGTTTTGCAAATGTGTCTCTAATTATCTGCGTCAAACATTTAAATTGTTCAACGGTTTTGTTATGATTCAATTTACCCCTGGCGAGAGGGTTTCGGCTTCCGGTTTGTATATAATTGTGACACTCGTTATTTTAAATATATCTAACAGCACAATGCACCTTGATTTTTACTGTTTTAAAAGCTGCAAACATGTTCCTAACTTCGTTAAGAATTATCCGTCGATTTCACTGCGAGAGAAAGCTGAAAAATTGAATTTAGATAAAAGGGCTCAAAGTTCGAGACCGCTTTTCAAAAGTATGGTTACTCTACAAATTAAAACTTACTAGACTCACTGAACTTTAAAAATTCAGTTTAGTTAAAGCAGTGAATCGTGAAAGTCGCCTTTTTCCTAATGATTATACTAGTGGCTCATGTATAACAAAATTGTCTGTAAGCTTCTCGATATTGAATTGGACCAATGTTCTGGGGCAGGCGAAAATAAAAATGCAATCAGAAAACCCCCGCCTTAGAGGAGAAATACTTCAGCAAAATGATAAACACCTAATAATCCTAAATTTTTCTGTTTCCTCTTTTGCTGAAACTCAAAAAAGAAGACCTTGCAAAATAACTATTTCCTGGCACAAAGCTGGATGTGCACGAGTGGGACATGAGTTAGTCTAAACAGTTGAAAATGACTTTTGTGCATAATTTTTCTTTTGTTCAGGTGTTCCGGCAGCAGGTGCGTGGAACAGTATTAATACAACCTAAAAGAAAAATTTCCCACCAGACGTAGAAACCAAGGGGTTTCCTAGGGCCTTGAGAGACAAAGAAATGTATGCAAAGAATATTCCCCAGAAACTATAACAAACAAGTGAGTATGATATACAGTGACTGTTATTTAATACGAAGAACAATTTAGTGGCTAACTAATGTGACATGCGAGTAGACTTCGTTTTAAATGGCTTTGAGCTGGCTTCCTATCCTCTAGGATTTTGACGACGTAACGCATTCTAAACATTTATAGCACAAAATATAAAGAATACAAGTGAAATAAGGGTCCTTGAAGGAAACCTGCTTAGTAAATTTCGGAAGGAATGAGATCCCTGAGCACGATGGAAAGGTCAGGTATAATACTTACGAAATTTCAACGGCTTTCCTGCATTCTGATTGGCTGTATTTCTCATGGCATAGTATGAATCATGTCATCCGATCCTGTTACTGATCCTCTGGGATCTCGTTGATAGTGCTACGTGTGGTTGTTTATCGCTAAGGACACTTCACTGGCTTGGTTTGTGTTCTCTCCTTCCTTCACACGCCGCATATGTGATCAATACGTTTGTCGATTAATTGCGTTTGATGTAATACTACAAAATAAATGAACGATAAAGCTCTTACTCGTTGGTCCAAGATAACAGCGAAATTTTTGCCCATTCCCCGTATTTTTCATGTAGCGTATTCGTCATTGTTCCTATGGCGGTTTCGAAAAGTACAACACAACTCGAAAAAAATACGTGTTACACAATCGAACAAGGTGCACATATGTCGCAACATATTGTGCGCCATATGTGATCGACGTACAGATTTTGTAACTATAACTAAATATAACTTTCGATAAAATACCTGAAAACATCCTTTCAATGTTAGAATAAAACTGGAAAGACGAACTTTTCGCAATGAATAATCTGGTTTATTTCACCGTGGCTCTTAAGCTAAAGCATCAGTTTTATTACCTTTTAATCATCTAAAATCGCTCACATAACGGAAAATAGCGGAAACACCATTTTTATACCCTGTCTTCATTCTGATTTAATGCCCAGTGCGAATGCAAATTATCACCTAATAGGAAGCATCAGTGCCAGCAAATCAGATTCAGAAATTAACAGAAGCCTGTATATAACGCTTTTATTTTCTTTCGCAGACTTTAAAAGCCTCCGTCTCCTTAAACGATTTCTCAGCATGCAGTGGAGTGTGTTAGCTATTAAATTTAACGGGGGCATTTAAACAAGGTGTCTTCCTTTAGCGCATATTTAGGCAAATTCTGCGAGAAATCTTGGGAACAACATTCTGCTCCATAGCGAAAAACCAAAGGTGCGTTATGTGTTCACCTCTGTTCTCGCTTTATGATTTGACGTATGATTTATAAAGGAAAATTTTTTCCCCAAGATAACGAAGAGAAGTGTCTAACGATTATCCCTCATGTAAGCGGTTCGCGAAGTTTTGTAAGGAAATGAAGTAAAAGTTGGTTCGCCCCGGGTGACTCGGGTGGGCGAGTAACCCTTCTATCTGGAACAACTTTTCTCCATAATCAGGGCCTTAATTAGAATAATTGCTTCAGAATCTCCTCCTTTCCTCTTGTGTAGTTTAGTACCAAGGGATGTGCCGCAAGGGCTTTAGATTCAGTTTCTTATAGAGTGATAAAAAATATATTCGCAACTTGGTTTTTAAAATAGTTAACTAAAACTTTTTATAACTGTTCTTTTTAAGAAGAGATTTTGGCTTCATAGGAGAAGGTGAACTGTTTGTGGGAAAACGTGCACACAAAAGAAAAGGCAATGGAAGAACTTGGGCCTCATGGGAACAGATCTTACTTACTTTATGGCGCCACTATGTTCGTCATTTTAACCCTTGGCCTCATTGGGAACTTCCTCACCCTTATTGTTCTTTTCCACCCGCAACATCGGACCAAGAGCATGACTCCGCTTATGGTAAACCTATGTGTTGCAGACCTACTGGTGTGTTTGTTTGGGTACACTGTGGCAGTGAACTACAACACGGCAGATTTTGCAAACACTGGCAGTGCCCCTGCCCTTTGCTACTGGCTTGCCTTTATCAACGCCGCCACAGGCCTGGCCTCCATCGGTACCTTGGCTGTCATGGCAATCATAACATACTTGGGTATCTCTAGAAATGAGATCGCTCAGCAGAACAGGATGACAGGAAAGGCAGAGATGCTGTTGCTTACTGGTAAGAGATCCCTATTTGTTGTATGATTGAGAAAAAAAAACCCAAAGAAAGCTACTTTCCAACATAACACTGACATTCTATAGCTGAAAAAAGCGTTCCTCTTGATTCAACTGCCAAAATGTTTTCATCACCGAGCAGTTACTTTGCTACCCGAAGGGGATAATTTCAGTTGTTTGGTTTTTAACTCTGCGCCTCATATTCATATTTCTCTCTGACAGACTTCACTCACATTTAAATCATAAATGCAATAAACCACACTTTCTATCGGTTAACCGCGTAAAACACTACGCAGGATGTTGGGGAAACACGAGAAAAGTCTATAAACCACGAGGCGACTTTTCGTATTCTCCCAGCTTCCCGCGTGGTTTATTAGCCCATAAATCGATAGAAAGTGTGTTTTGTTGCTTAAATTATAACCACTTTATCATTATCAAATAAATACAACGTCCGGGTCTTGGGGTGCAAAAAGCGTGCATGTTGCAAACTGCCTTCTTGATTTTTATTGTCGATAACAGAAGACCGTGTTGTCTCGGTCAAAATGATTATGGTGACCTTTAATATCGGTGTTTCCTCAGTTCTGATCGGAACGAACAGAATAGTTATAATTTCTAGGCTTGCCTTATCTACCACCAGGAATCTGGTTGTACGCGATTGTGTTGACGATTCCTCCGGCTATGGGCTGGAACAAATTTATTCCTATTCCTTCACGAGTAAGCTGCCATCCTGATTGGTATTCCCAGGACCTCAGCTCCAGGTCTTACATCATATATCTGGTAACGTTTGGCTTCTTTATCCCTTTGGTGATCATACTTGGGAGCTACGGAGGGATATACAGGTATTAGTGCGGAATGATAACAAAACGCGGGGGAGTTAAACTTGACTGCGTTTCCAGTTGAATGGCAATATAATTCAAACGCGACTTGATCTTGATGATTGACCATGCATGCAATCTCTTGAAATCCTATCCTCTTGAAATTCCTTGAAAATCGTCTCTTGAAATCCTATCCTCAACAATGGTCAACAGGCGAATCTTTCCAAACAAGACATAGTCGCAAAGCAAAACTTTCCGAATGAAGTACGAAGTGTCGAGAGTAAAATAAGGAGACAAACGATTCAACGAGCTTTACGTGACTCGGTCGTTCTAACCTATCAGAGTGATTTGCGCACGGAGCAGTTTATGTGTGTCTTAGAACTTAAAGCTCTCACTAGTCAACCAGTTCGTTGGCACTTTATATGAGCATAAGTGTTTTTGACTGATAGCAATTTAAGATAAGAGGGAGTGAATTAAACGAGTTTTCTTCTTTCTCAGAAAAGCACAGGATTATCTTCTTCTGCAAAAGTGTTACTGGCCGATGTAGCTGCCAGTGTTTACATAAGACAATTGAATTCCTATTACTCCGCCAAAACCTTTAACTGTTCCCACGGTTTAGTTGCCCACCTCATCACCGTTTCATGGTACATTTTTTGAGTTGAGTGGTTCACAGAAACTTGGATTTTGTCTAGAGGAGCTTTCCTTTTTGTGATAACCTCGTACCTTCCTTGCGTCTGAATACACATGTAGGTAGGTATATATGTACAGAAGTAATTTTTTTGACGACTAAGGTGCATGTTGAGAGAAAGTAGATGAACTGTCTGCCATTTGAGTCTCAAAACAGCTAGGAAACATCTGATCGTACAACAAAAACAAACGAGAGTCTTCTCTGATTGTACTAAGGCTATTGACGGTGGATCAACGTAGTTGAGATAATCTCTTGCAGAGCCAATTAGAAATAAATTAAATACCATTTATCTACATAATGAAATCACGAGTTTTGGCTTCTGATCAAATTCTTTGCATGACCTGTAAATAATTAACTGTGCAGATTACTTCCGATCTTGCGCATGACCGCGTCCTCTCCGTCATCGGTATCCGTCGATTTACTTTTTACTAATACAATACACAATACACCTAAAACAGTAATCCCGAATTTTGAATCACGCAAGCTTTCAAGACGATTTCTTAAGAGGAAGGGGACGGAAATATTGTTTCAACAAAAAGGTATCTGAATTAAGGCGTATCATTCCAATTGCAACTTTTTAGGGGTGAATTTAAATATGACAAAAGTACTTTCAACCCTTTCCCTTTTTTTATTGCCAACATCTACTAGCGCGAAGAGCCTATAGTGAGTACTGTAAGCTCTTTTGGTCTTGCGGATAGGATTCCATGAGATGCGTGACGTGATCACAAGCAATAATAGTTAATCAACAAGATGGACTCGCGAGTAAAACTGTACTGTACATTTACCTGGAAAACACAGTCAAAGAAACTTAACTCCTCTGCTCTCTCTGAGATGATATGAAAGTTTTTTGGCTTCTTTAGAAGAGCTGGTATGTCTGTGCCAATGAAGAGAAATGACTACCACGGATACTTATCATTTTCAAACCAAGGAAAGCCAACATACACACCTTCCCAGGAGATGCTTTTTAACAATTGTCCAATTTTGATTGACCATGAATTTGATTGAAGTTCATTTAGGAAAAAGCAATTCGTCACTTATTATCCCCTTAGTGGGCCAGAAATATGATTTATTCCATCTAAGATATTCGTATATACACGTGTGTTTGTTTTTGAAGACTTGTTAGTCGCAGTTTTTGGGAGGAAATTTCAAAAGAGAGCGCCAGTTGCATCGCTCTTTGTTCACATTGATGATGAAATGATAAAGCTGTCGCAGTCATTATTTAAAGGATTTCTCTAAAACAAAATTAAATTTTTTGTCTCAGTCCTTGATTCCTTTACAGGAACCAAAGTATCACCAAACGCATGTAAACGTCAGGATGTCATAAAAATGTAGTTAATTGTGTCAATAACAAAATGCGAGAAAGTCAGGAAAAAAAATGTAAAGCAAGAGCACTTATTCTTCTTTCTGATACTGAATAATAGTCATTGGATTGTTTGTCTTCAATTAGGACATCTCAAGCTGCTCACATTTAAAGATGTTGTCTTAATTTTGATTGGCTAAAGTTGGCTGAGTTTTAATGGCTGATCGATGGTGGCTTAAAGAGCTTAAAATTATATCAGCTATTTTTTGCGATTTGGCTCGTCGCATTGAAAGTGCTTGCAATCGGACAGTTTGGACTTGAAACAGCCAATTAAGTTACAAAGAAGGGCTGTTTAGAATCCTCATATTCGAGCATTTTGCTAATGACGCAATTAGACGTGTAATGTCGATTAACCGAGTCTCCGTAATTGGTAGGTGCATTCGAAACAGCTCTGTGCCCGGGGCAAATGAAGATGCTAGGGTGCGGCAAATACGGTCTAGAAATAAAACCGTCCGCCTGGTGATTTCCATGACTTTGGCATATTTTGTAAGCTGGTCTCCGTACTGCATTGTCAGCCTGATCGGTACCGCAATCGGCCACGAAAGTGTCTCCCCTTCTGTGTCTCTGGTTCCTGAAATAATGGCAAAGGCTTCTGTGGTCTACAACCCGATCCTGTACGTGCTGCTTAACGCAAAGTTCCGAGTCACTCTGATACAGTTCTTTAGCTGGAGTCGTGTCGGTAATGTCATTTCTGAGGGCTCCAATGCTGATGAAAACACCACAGGGGTAATGGAAATACAAACAAACTCGCTACGCCATCGAGACATATAAATTATGATACTACATCTGAGTAAATCAGACCAATACAATCACGGGTCTGCCTGATTTTCTTCGTGAGCTCGTAGACTTCACTTTAAAACACTAATTTTTTTTCCACTACACGGTAGGTAGTACAGTTGAGGTTCAGTAGTATAAACATTTATCGTCTATTGCTATTTTCTGCCGCGCGTCTGACACTGAGATGGTCGACGTGAACGCACGAAGAAAAATGTTAATATGGGAGTACGAAAAAGAGTAATTAGTCAATTTGGTAGCAAGTTTAGCGCCTCTGAGTTTTAAATACGCTTTGCGCTCATAATACGCTCAAATAGGATCGATCTAAATGTGTGAAGCAAAAAAAAACCGAGATGGTTCTAACTGCTTTTAGACTAAGACAGATTCATGGGTAAAGTTTGAAAGAAACAGATTTTTTTGAACCAAAATGCACCGGACTGCTTTTGGAGAGAATTCTTGTTTATCTCATTAAATGTGTCAGGTTGGTTCGATTTTTCATTGAAAGTAGAGCAACGCCTTGGGTTGATCAGGTTTTTCAACCGCAATCAAACTTGATTGAGTGAAAAGGCATGGTTAGTTGTTTCTGCAGGCTTACTGAAGTCGACCGAGGGCTTCAGAAGCCAGTCGCGACGCTAACTATTAACAAAAAACAAAGTGGTGAGTTACTCGCGCACTTTGGATACCTGAATAGGGATGATGCTTTTATAGGTGTGCAAATCGCCGAAATTGAACAAATTACGCCAACTTCCTAACTTTGTGAACGAAAGAAGTTTGATGATAATTAGTCTCACGGGTTAACACATTTTAACCGGAATTGCGTGAGGAAGTGATACATTGGGAGACTGTTACTGATTCAGCGTCAAGCAGTTGCGTTTGGAGACGGTTGGTCCCAGTTGAAGGCGATCTTAGGTTGTAGATTCGATTTTATTTCTTCCATAAGACTAGTTTTCATAGGGGTATTACTACTCTTAATCATGAGTGTGTGCGAAAACGATTGTTAGTTCTTAGGGGTACTTTTAAGGCTCCCAGTTTGCCGTTGTATGGCGTGTTGTCAATACTTGTGAGATAGAGAGAGACTACATTGTCAATTAAATACAAATTAGTACATGAAGTTCTGAATATTTGCTCCAAAAACTCTGCGCAGCTTCTCTTTATTCTTCACGTTGATAAGCGATCATCGAAGTTTGCGAAAGCAAACTTCACAAGCCGCAAGCGCAAGGTAAAGAGCTATCCTCATTTCCAGGGGAGATAGCGTCGGCAGGAACGAAAACGGGGTCGATGAATGCATAGGAAAGTGTCCCCAACTAGTTCACTTATGCTAAATACTTTGACACTTAATTTTTGTGCTTTGTTCTTTCTCTCTTACTTTTTCTTATCTTAAAAAGTGGAGATATTAAACCCTCATGACCCTCATCCCTTCGCACATGACTTGGTCATTGGTGCTAAACAAAAAATTTCCAAAAAAATAGACAGCCGAGATTCTTAAAATTCTCTCAACGACAGGTTATAGGTAGGTAGCAGGCAAGCAGAGAGAGGCCACCCAATAGAGAAGTTCTCCTGCAAGCTATAATTCACCTTATAGAGAACCAAAGAGGTTTTGAATATTAGCTCAACTTGCGTCGTCAACTTGCCAAACCAGACACATGGTGTTGACTTACTTACCTTTTTTTCTAACATTGCAACATACTGATTATTCCAAACAATAGTAACTGAGATGCATGTGCGAATGAACACTTAAATGTGTGAGCGATGAAGCGTTTTCTTGACGAGTGGTCCAAAATAATGGCAGTCGTTTATTTAATTTTTACACAAATCAAACGATAGTTATGTTATGACTGGATCAATCGTAATCGTATCAATTGATTTGACGATCTTATGAAAATTCTCTCTTTCGTCAGCAACAGTTACAAAGCTCACTCCAGACTCCCTACCCATCCCGTCCTCCTTTGTAGTTCTCTCTGTGTGTTCGCTCCCTTTCAACCTGTTGCTAACTGCTGGTCACGGAGTATTGTTCATCTTCCCCCTCACCCTTAATGAGTTTCCTTTAGTTCTGTGTTTCTGGTTTTTGTCCTCACCTCTCCCTTCCTTCAGTTCAATTGTCTAATTTGTCTTTCTCACCTCTGGTCACTCTTTGTAAGCTCTTAAGGTATTTGAAGAGAAGATGAAATTCTGCTAGCTATACAGTCCAGTTGGAATGTGAAATGTATAAATTCAGGTTCGAAAAAACCATTTCAGCTCGCCAGGCTTCCAAGATAAACCAAGTGTTGATCCATAGTTTACTATGTCGTCCACTTCTTTGGATTCTATGCAAAACTCTCTTCTTGGATGTGACTCTCGGAGCATCCTTTAGTTATACAGTAAGTAGCTCAGCTTATCCATTAGATCGATCCAAGGACTCCGTGAGGAGGCCGATTAAATTTATGCAGGATCTTTCAGATCGACTGAAATTGTTTTTTAGTTATTGGGGAGCAATTTAAAACGTTAAACTCCGCAGAATGTGCAGAGTCAGTCGGAACTTCGTGCCAGTAAAAACGCTGATAATGCAAAATGATGGCCATTAATAAAGGAGCTAGCTTCGTGTGTAATGAGAGAATCATCCATGAAGGATTCACAGGAAGCCTCCTGCGGGTGACGATGGAAATTCAACTGTGATTTCTTAAAGAGCAGAGAGCTATCACGCTAGAATTCTGTTAATGTTTCAGGATAATTGTTCATGTGTTTGATGTCGCCTGTTAGCAGTCTGTCTTTGAGACACCCTTGGTTCGTCACCTCTGCTCATAAAGTGACAAAGAGGAGAGACCAATGTAGAAGAAGAAGATTACAAGAAGTTATGATTTACGGATTATGGATAACTTTATGGGATTGCAATCACCAGCGGCTGGCCGAATGGCCGGAATGGATGTATAACACCGAGCTACTTTAGTGTTTATCGATCGCAATATACGTATTTACCGCACGGGGAAGACCTCTGCGCCTTCTCTTTCGCCCATGCGTTGGAACGATCACCATTCCAACGTTCCGTTCTTCAGATATCGAGCAAGGCTGATCAGTGATCCGATAAACTTGTGGTCTTAGAAAGAATGGATTAATTAATAACCGATTTCAATCACGAATCCGGCTTAGGGCTGACGACTGTGTGCGCTTTTCGTCGTACGAAACACTATTTGGCGAACAATAAAGAAAACAAACCCGCATTGCCCCGGTTATTGTGTATTACCACTCTTACAAAACTCCAGCCCACCAGCGACAGTACCCTGCTTTGTGGTAGAAGAAGAGGTTCAGCTGCTTTATATTAAGCTAACGTGCGCTCTGGCGCGGATGTATGAACTTGCTGATGAATCAGCTGATGATTTTCTTTCTCATGCTAATTTGGGTTCTAGACTTCTCTGGTCACTGCAAAATGTTTTTCAAGAAATGTTTGATATCTCTAACTGATTGGTAGATTTACGCGTTACGAGTACGCGTCGTCATATAAAGATCATCCAGCTCCAGCCAGTTACTAGCATCGAGTCCTCCCTGAAGAAGTGAGTGTTCCTGCGAACTCCGCACTAACTCGGTCCTCCTATTCTGGCGTAACTATCAAGGAACTCACGGTGGCTGGTGATAGAAACTATTAACCAATTCTCTAGAATGGTATATCACAGTGGGGCGTTATATAAACAAAACTGGCTGCATAACGGCGGAGGTGCAGGTCTTGGGCGGCTGACTCGCACTGGACTGCACAATCGTCGAGTTATGTTCATGGCTATGAATGGAAAAAACAAAACAAGATGGTAAGATGGAGGAGACTCAGGCTACTATAAACTATGAAAAAGCAAAAGTGCATGAAAAAGAGCTGCGCCTGGCGAGATCCTAATGAGTTCCGGCGACACTGAATATTTCTCAAAAACACCCCGTGGGGCGTAAGTGAAAAGATAGATGTTAGCGTTCTTAGACCAGTTAACCATTTCTTCCATGACCTTAAGAGATTAGACCAGTTTTGCTGCTGCAGCAAGTCAAAGGTTTATTCTTGTCTGATCTGAGAAACAAGGAATTTAATTGAAGAAACGCTTCCGTAATTTTATATTCCCAATTATAGACGAGGGATTATCGTCGAAGCTCCATGCTCTCTTTTCTTTAAATTCATGATATCCCACAGCGCGAAAAATAACCTGCGCAATCACACAATAGGACACAAAAAGCTGTTTATCGGTAACCGGTAACCAATTCTTCACTCCAAATTCTTCTTCTCAGTTTCGAACAGGACTGTATTTCCTAAATAACTGTAACTTAAGCAGGCGTGCTTAATAAAATCTACTGCCAACGGTCGGTGAACGGCTGAGCTATAGATGAGCTGGAGATAGGATAGATTATCTCGTGGGTGGGCACCTATGCCTAATTGTGGCGCAATGATATGGATTTGTCTTGAGGGACCTTTGTTGTGTTTATTTATTTAATGAGTTGATTTCTTAAGATTTAGCGGTGTGGCAGTTATGTTCTTCGGCCTCAAAATGGAGGAAAACACGCAAGCGGGCTATAATCATGCATTGGCTCAAGAAGAGCCGTATTGATCATATTTGCAGTGTCTAGGTTGGAGGGCAGCGCGATCCCGTCAGGGTGAAGATACGAGCATATGACTTCGCCACCAGTTGCGAGAGCCATACCCGCTATCATCTTGACCTCATTCCACCACTGGCTGGGTTTGGTGGTCTTAAGGTTGGCGACTTTGGTTGCATAGAACTTTCCGCGACACAGCTTCCGCTCACGATTAGTGATGTTACGAAGGTGTCTGAAACGCTTTGTATCACCATGTGCATATGCCTTTTGACGCGACTTAATAGGAGCTTTAAACTCAGCAGACACCCAGGGAGCGTCATTTACGTGAAGTTTAATTGTCTTAAGAGGCATGATGGTGTCTAGGCCAATCTTTACAAGGTCTTGAAAAAGCTGCAACTTGCTTTCGCAGTCGGGCGCAGAATCTAGAACGGACCAATCTATGGAGCCCAGATACCTGCCAAGCTCGCGTTTACGGCTTGGATGAGTATCCCTTCGAGTGAGAGAACGATGATTGCTAATTGGGCTCCAGTAGAACCACGAAATGGGCAGAAAGACCAAATGGAGAAAACGTTTGTACAAGATCTTTGTTGTAAAAATGAGGCATGTGGGTAATAATTAAATCCAGTGTCTGGTCACCCCTAGTTGGGACACGCACAAGCTGCGTAAGGTTGAATTGCGTTCGTAGCCGACTGATTTGAGACGGTTGAAGTCGCCGGTTAGAGGTATGCCAAACCCAGGATAGCTCGACTGAAAAAGTTATCTGCATTTCGCAAGGGTACATTCCCTGTCTTCAAAAAGGATGTGACGTCATATTCTTAGGGAACGAGAAAAAATTTGACAAGGAATCTAAAGAATCCATTTCGCTTAGAATTCTGAATGTTATTTTAATGAACACAAATTCACTAAATTGTCCTACAAGGTACTGGTAACTACGTACCAACGTTACGTGATTTCAATAAAAATGCCATAATTGTGCTCTGTCCTGATGAAAAACGCTTCGGAAGAGGTGACAGAACAACACGTACTTGGGTGTTTCTCACACCAAAGAAGTTTTGACGTTCTGGAGCTGGGTACGTGGAACTGTTCTAGAACGGAGGGAGTAGTATAAAGGCAATAACGCAAGCATATAGAAGAAAAATGCACAGCTTAGCTGTCTTAGAAACAACAAAAATTTCAATTGAAAACCTCAAACAGTTAAGAAAATACCGAAGGAAAAGGAATTTTGCCTGAACCTTTCTGTCTTTGAAGCGTACTACAAAGCGTGGATCCGAAAGTTTGAGGTTCGATTCCTCATAGGGACTCACAAAATGTATTCTTCGTCAAAACCTCTATGAAGTGACATACACATCTTCCTTCATCTTTTTGTTTTGTTGCACTACTGATTTTGACGCGTGAGGGCTGGCACATGAAACCTAAGCTTTCTTTCACGGCGATTTTAAGACAAATAATTCAGCCCATCACCTTCTTTTCAAACTATGAATTTTGGTTATAAAAGTAGGATTCATATTTTCGTGGTTTCTGTGACAGGTCGGTATTTTTGATATCGAAAGTGTAAGTAGGATGTTTTGTTACAAGAGTAAGTGGGCGGCTATTTATGGAGACAATCTGGAACGTTGTCCCATACAAAATGGAATTCGTCTTTATTTAGCAAAGGCTGAGTGATTTGTTCTTGGAAATTTCAAAGAAGTGTCTAGTAAATTATCGTTCTTTTCAGCTTTAATTTCTGTTTCGACAAACTGTCGCATATGAATGGGCAGTCATCGGACATACGTCATAATTTATTTCCGGCTTATAAAAATAGGACAGAATGTTTTTCAGTCTGTTATTTGATAGGGGAAGGGAAATCAATTTAACTTTGCCTATTCTGGGGGGTATTTCAAAATCCATATGTCAATGGATTTAAAGCATTATAAACTTCAAAAAATCCCGTCTGCAACAGAAGTAAAACATTTTAATTGGTCGTAGGTTTTTATCATAGAGACTTATGTCACCTTTAACAATGTGATCATATAATTTTTCTGTCACAAAAATATTTGCAAATTAGCTTGTGAATGCGTTGGACTTCGCGCTTATTTTCTTTGAGCGACTTTTTTAATTTTTCATTAAATGTATAGAATTTTTGTCATCTTTTTGTACATTAATAATCAGCTTTATTTAAATCGTTACCTATGCTTCTAGTGTCATCTCTGAATTGTAGATTGAAGCGAAATATGATTTCAAGTTCACTTGATTATAAACATTGAGTTGCAAGAATAGAACTCAGTTCCTGACCATTTAGGCCGATTTTGAGTGTTGTTTTGATGACAAGGCGCAGCATCAATCAATAAGGTAGGGAAGTGAACATTTTACGATTCACCTTGCACCCTTCACTAGGATTTAGTCAAATCTTTTTTTAATGTGAAAAATTTTCGAAAGGGTGTGAAATAGCTTTGTCATCTAATATTAAAATTTAGCATCATGTGTATTCGTTGTCTTGAGAGGAAAATTTTCTGTAACTTGGTGTAAGTCCTCTAAGGTATATAACTTTAAATAAAGACAAATGACACGAAGTCTGCTGACGTTAGACCATGTCCTGTCTTACAACGAAAACGACTCACACCGAGCTTCAATGAGCATAAATCATTTTAGATGGATTGATGAGCAAAGTAAGTCGTAAAATACTCAATTAAGTGGCAAAGAGTGGCATGTTATCGATTACTTGGTGCCTACGGCATGAATACCACTCTGCGGCGAAAATCGCGATGAAGAAGTGTTGGCGAAACGAAGTTATTTTCATAACGGCATTAGTGCCACCAAAGCAACACTGACCTAAATCTCACTTGTCTTCTTCCCAGAACATTCCTCTACGTGGAAGGCTTCTCTTCATCGGAATTTTTTCCTGTGTACACTTACACACACTTACACTTGTAAGCAATACCCTCATTCGTTAATGTCATGGCAAAGGTTGGCCTAGTGATAAGATATCAGACACTACACGTCAATATTTTCAGCGTTCATTTGTTATTGAAACATTATTTACTGTCACTCAATCTCGCCCACAGCTATTGAGAAACTTCCAAAGGAGAACGGAAGCATATTGACCGAACCGCTTCCTGAGTATTTGTCAGACTGTATATACCACGTCACACGTATCACGTGGAGCAAGATTCTGTAGGAGGTGCAAGGAATAAAAAGTAACAGTTCGATTTACTACGGGTTATTCGATTTAAACCTTAGGCTTGACAAGTTCACTCGTGATTTTCCTCTTGTCTTTTGTATTCAGGATGAGACGGTTTGCCTCGTACATCTTTCTAATGACTCTTCTGATGGTCTTGGTTTCCAAACGCAAAACAGAAGGACAACTGGGATTTAGATTTCCTCATATTCGCAGAGGTCGCACTTTAATTTATGTAAGTGTTAAAATTTTGTACGAAATTTTAGACGTCCTCAAGATTAAGCAGTTTCTCAAAGCAAATTTGGGTGAATAAAAGAGGCAGGAATACTAAAACCTCAATAAGGTGATCAAATGGGAAAACTACTGATTTCTTTCGTGTTCCCTTACACCTACACTGGTTGTGCCGTTTGACCTTGAAAAAATTGAAAGAAATTTTTATTAAGCAATTAGTGGATGGTTGTAGTCCAAACACGGCGCAATTTCGTAAATACTAAATTATGTTTTCGTTCTTTTTTAGGGTTACTCAAGGATAAGAAATTCAATGAAAGATTCTAGAATGGAGCAGCAAAATGACTTCACTGCAAGGGAGAGTGACAAACTGGAAACTTCGCATCCGCTACACTGACAAAAATAAACATGTCACGAAGCTTTGGCATAAAAAAAAAAAACAAAAAATAATAATCAAACGAAAGAACTATCAAATAACTGAGATATGTATTAATTACACCCGAGTTAAAATCAATTTCTGCCTGTTTGAATCAGTTGCTTCAGTTCACAATTAATTACTGGGTAGTGGTTTGAAAAATGACAAATGTTAACAAGTCAAATCAATCTTGTTGGTCTGGATATAAACCTTAATCTCCCGATTGCCTCATCGCCCATAATGACGCTGTTTGATTGGTTATCAACGAGCTCTGTCTATTTATGTCAACTGGTCAATTTGCAGATTTTTGGAAGGTTCGAGATAGTCCCATTCACTTTTAAGTGAATCAGTTAGTTTCCATTTCACACCCCTTCCTTTAAAAGACCAATTTTTAAACTACCCCAGGAAGACAAACATTGATGTTTGCCGTTAGCGTCTCACGGTTTCGAAATATTCCTCCGATCTCTGGTTTTTGCTTATCTGTGTAAGCTTTCATAATAATTTTCCTCACCACACCGTAAAATGAACTCATAACCCGCTAGATAGAATTACATCAATCAAGAAAGTCTTTTGTTCCGCTTGAAGTCTTTCTTGAGAGAGAAAACAGTAGTGCTTGAACAAATCGAATATGAACACGGCACATAGGGCAGGCAAATATAATACCAATGAAAAATTTAGTAGAAAGAGTTTGATTGTATTAAATCTAATCAAAGAGCCAACAACTTTCAAAGCCTCTGGTCAGAGGTGAATGACATCGGCTCTGAGAATTCATTTATTATTTAAAGACTTAACGCCATCAAAGTGGAAAAGTTCGTTTATTATTAACATAGGGAATTATTATTTTTGACTAAATGAAGTTCCGCCCTTTTATAGATTCAAGAAGACTCGTTGAGTACTAAGATTGCCTCATATAATTCATTCGATCATAGAGATGACGATTGCAGGCGAAGTTATTCGGACAACGATGGTACCTACTTACGAGATGCAAGAGACAAATACCAATTAAAACCACTTATGCTATTTCGGCATCATTTGTATTTTCCAATTTGCGGTGTTTTCGGCAATCTGTATGCCCAAGCTGTCATTATAATTTTGATTGTTATTCTAACCCTTAAAATACTGAGAAGTCGTGAGTGTTTGTAAGTTGCTTGTCTATTTTTATCATAATTTGCAATTTTAACCTCGCTAATATCACATTTTATGAGCAAAATCGTGCAAACGCTCATGCTTGGAAATGAGCAGGTGCCTTGATAGGAAGGAAATCGTGAGTTTTATGTTTTAAGTTTTGTTTTAACCCAGGCACGCATCATTGACTGCTTCTCCACAAAATATTTCATGGTAAATTCCTTGGAAGGGTACAGTGTTTGAGAAATCAGCTAGCTATCTGGCAAACTAGGATATATTTATCTACAAAAGTTTTGTGTGATAGTAATGGAGAAATATTAAAAAATTTGGGAAGGTTTTCATGTTATCAGAAACAGATCACATTTCACTAGGCTGATAAGGAGAAAGGTTTACATTTTCATTCTCCCTTTTCGAAAAGCTGAGGCCATT